GTCCACACGAACTACACAAATATTTTTAAACTAAGTTAGATAAACTTGAATTATAAAATTGATTACCTCATCTTCCATTATAACACCCTAAACCCGAATGGGCCTAAAGCGTCACATTGGGTCACCAAGGCACGCCTGATTTTCAAAACATGTTTATTTTCTTTTAAAACATACTCTATGGTATCATTGATAAACATAAATATCAGTTATAAAACATTTTATAAACTGGAGCTCCATGACACATAGTTTAAATCAAATAATATAAACTCTTTCTCATAAATCTGAATACATGAGTAAGGTTCTATGAATACAAATGCCCACTAAGCTATGGCACAATACTCTGAAAAAGATGTTGGAAGTCCTACTGTGATGGTGCTCCACGAACTGTTCAATCTATTGACCTGGTAACGAAAAACATCCGAAGGCTGCACTTACAAAGCCCATCAGTATAATCACTAACTAGAGCAGCATTAATAGTTTCATAAACACAAACATGTTGAAAAGATTACTAAGCTATAGGTACATGCATGATCTAGATCAAGTGCTACCTACCCATGGCTTAATTTTTTTTTATCATTGAAGCAGGATTCTCAAGTTTCCCTAAATCCTCTACTAAGGGCTTAGCTATAAGTATACCTCTGAAGGGTCACCAACCCTAATAAATATCTCTGCAATGCATTATATAAATGAAATACTAATTCACTTGTGCACAATATGAATGCAATACTGATATTATATGCATTATACACTAATTAAGGTAGGCATTATGATGTGGTTGAGGGGCTACATCTCAAAGCACACATCCCTCTAGTATAACACTGTCACTACTGTATGACACACAACATCAACACAATCTGTGGCGGGAGTCATGGTGCAACTGAGGGTTCTTCATCTCAAAGCTTACACACCTCTTTAGCTTTCCTGAATACCCTCGAGTACTCTAGGGTGAGATCTGGAGTTGCATCGAAAAATTACACCCGACCAACTTACTCCGTCGAGTCTTGGGGCATCTGCACCCAGCTGGCAAGAGAAGTGCCTTGAAACTAACTGGTATATACCTGAACATCCTAGTAAATAAGACAATTGCCCTACTGCTAAAGTAACTCGGGTATCCTGACTGTTTCTCGAGTGTCACACACAAAGGCTAATTTTATGATATCCTAGTTGTTACTGTTTCTAGTTGTTATGAGTTATTAATGATCTCATTTACTAGTCTCCTTAGCTACTATCTCACTCATTCTCTCATCTAGAAAGTTAAATGAGGGTTTATTAGTCTGTTACTACTAATAATCTATGTTGATCTGGTTGTTCGTTAATTAAGGGCATTTTAGTCGATATTCTAACTCTAGAGAAGTCTCTACGCATTCGTGACTTCACAACGACTATTGTGTTTTCTGTTTACTGATTGTGATATTGGTTGGCCCCATACCTGACTCAAGTTTATTTTTAGCTAGCGATTCTTTATTCGTCCTTACTATGCTTTCCCTCAATTAACTCTTGAATTAAAGGGACAAATGTGTGTCCATCACTCTCTGTTGTTCTTACGGTATACACTTTTGTTGTTTTATAATCTATTTTTTGGTTTGTATTGCTTATCAGTACACTCTCTGTAATGATCTTGTATATGCTCAATTAAAGATACTTGGACGCATTACGCCTACTATGGTTACTTTGGTTGTAACCCACTCCTATGAGAGTCTTTGGCTCCTTTTGGCCAATTATATCCCCCACATATTATGTTCTACCATTACCGACCATTATTAGCTCTTACTGACCTTAACCATGTCTAAAATAATCATCCAAGGTGAGTAGTATCAATACTCTACTTGTAGTATCGAAACCCTGGTGTCAAGTATCGATACCCTTATGAGTATCGATACCAAAAATGATTTCGAAAGCTAAAAAATAGGCCTAGTATCGATACTCTCCCTAGTAGTATCGATTCCCCTTTTTGAAATCACTAATTTTTGCTCCAATTCATCTAGTGTCGATACTTGAACCCAGAAATAATTTATTTAGGCTTGGAAAAACACCTAAAATACTCCTAAGGCCATAGTTTGGTTTATAATTGTGTGCTAAAACTTTAGGGAGTCAATTAGGTTCATAAAGTATCTTAGAAACACATACTTTGCATTAAATTCAACATCTATGACTTAAATCAAGTTTGAAAACCTAAAAGGTCAAATATTCAAATGCTAGCAAATCATCATGTTTATGAAAGCTTTAACACTTCAAAGGATTAAAAATACATACCTTGATGTTTGAATCTAGAAATGAAGCTTCTTACTTAGCCAACTCCTTCCCTTTTGATTTGGGTAAAAACCCCTACTTTTTCTTGCAACCAAATAACTCAAAGCTTTGATTCATTAAAAGGATGTTACTGTAGGGATTTAGAACAAAAATGAAGTATGAAAGAGACAAGAAATGGCTCAAAAGACTTTCCCTTAGTTTATGGAGCTTAGAGAGAAAATGAGAGAAATAGAAATGAAAAGAAGAAGATAAAATGAGAGATATAAAAGCTTCTATCCTCTATAATGGAGAAATTGTGCTTTTGGTCATTTCTCATCTTTCTACCATTCAAAAATCCCCTCTAATGACTAATTGGGCCCAAAATTTAACCCAATTAAGCCCAACGACTTGAATTATATATTCTACGATGTACACTTATCTCTCGGGTAAACCCTAAATTACTAACCCAAAATTTATGGTGTTACAACCATCTTATCGATAAACAATATAAAATCATGCAGAGTTCTTAGTAGGTAGGTGTGAGTTAGTGTAACAGTCCACCTATCATTCATATAATAAAATATAATTATTTATAAAACCCTAAAAAACATATAATAATTTAAAGATATAAATATAGTTTATTATTAATTATCTCTGAAGTAGTGGAAATTCAAATGAGATCGGTTGTGTAGGAATCAGTTGTAAGAATGACATTCGATACTACGCCCACGATTGTAACAACATCATACAACCTCCGATCACTTGTTTGTTCGGATTAACAACTTTACATAGCTTCCGGAATGAAAAAGGCCAACATTGTCAATCCCTAACTCTTAGATTTATACTCTCGCAAAACACTTAGATGACACAACCATACCAAATGCACTTTGTTTCAGGATTTATCAAGCATCAAAATCCCCCAATAACTTATAAAATCTCAACACGAGCAAATCGTTGCAAAATAAATATAAAGCGAATAACTGAAAAATTATTCGAAATTGATAAAATAAATGATTTATTCAAAATAAATAAATAATTAATTAATTAAATTTTAATAAATAAATAAATAATTTTTTTGAAGTAAATAAATAAATAAAAATTACCTCAATTACAGAAGAACCATTGGTGGGTAGCTTCCAAAAATTTAACCATGATATTCTCTCCATCCAAATTGTCATATGTCGGAGTAAGTCTCATCAGTTCCTCACACAAGCTTTTCCAGTTCCCAAGTGCCACACCGGTAACAGTAATTTTGTCAACACGTAGCCCAAGATGAAATGCAACATCTTAAATAATAGTCGTCTCCATCGTTCTAGCAATACATTTATCAATGGAGGATTCAACTTCGAAACGCCTATTATTGTGCTAACATAACCAAAATTGGCTTCGTGCAAATATGGAAGAGTATCATCATGAGGTCTTGAGAAACGGTTGATAAAACGTCACGAACATTAATATCCCTTCAAATAAATAAATAAATAAATAATTCAAAATAAATAAATAAATCATTAATTTATTCAAAATAAATGAATAAAGAAATAAAAAAAATGATTCAAAATAAACAAAAAGGTTCAAAATAAAAAATAAATAAAAGTTACCTCCAGATTTATCCGCCAATAATCGAACACATGCCTTCAATCAAGCTTAAGTAATCTCGCCATAATAATCGTAATTAAATAGATAAGAGAGAAAATATGAGAGAGAGAGAGAGAGAGAGAGATTTTTTGGAAGAAGATGTGAGGAATTCGGGAATGAGGGGTCCAAATTTATAGTCGTCCTCACACCGCCCCTGAAGCGAGGTAAGTAATACCTTGAGGTTAGGGAATCTATTCAAATTTCAATCTTAACGTTTTCTTCGCGATAAATTTTGCCACAATAAATCGATATCTCGTAAATCTCACATTTTGCATAACTTGAGGTCATTAATATCAATATTAAATAGCGTTCTGCAAAAAGTGCATCCACGTCAGCCGTACCTTGCTTTCTGTATAACGCGAGATTTTACCCTGCATTTCTTAGGAGTAATTTTTCTAACAAATCTGGGAAGGGTTACTCTTTAAAAAATACTTAATGGAATTTTTCATTAAATAATAACGTCTTTAACTTTGGAAAGGTACAATATTATTTATACACAGTTAATAAATTAAATAATGATATAAATTAATTTATACTAATATATTAACCATTTAATTTATTAATGATTGATAAATTTATATATGCCAGTACATCACATATCAGATTATTAATAATCTTATGAGAATCAAAGATTAAATGGTGAAAAAATTCTAAGGAAGATTAATTAATTTTATTTTAATTATAAGATATAATAAACTTACATTCTTATTGGGAGACGTATCGTTGAGAAATTTATTCACTAAAATCAAGTATATGTCTCACATCGATTAAAATTAATTGGGAAAAAACTTTGGAAGCGGATGATAAAAAAAAGACTGATTAATAAAAATGTGATTAAATAAATGCAGAAAAAAGAGGATATGAAAGTCAAGTGGTAAGTCACAAGGAAGCCAAATGGAAACAACGCCCTTATATTTCTTCACGAGTTTCCTTTAGACTCGCTAACTTCTATTCTTATGTTTTGTTAATAATTTTTTCTTTCACCTTGACAACGATTCTTCATTCATTTCTTCGTCTTTTTTCTTCTTCATGATTTCAAGGTTTTGTCAACTACATCAAAAACGTAAAAAAATATAATAATAATAATAATAATAATAATAATAATAATAATAATAATAATAATAATAATAATAATAATGGCGCTCTTGAGGTTGGGTTCCAAGCCTGAAACATTTCATCGTGAAGGCAACTCTTGGTGAGCTTTTCTTTTCTTCTCTTTTACATTGGGTAATTGTTTTTTTTTTCGAAAAGAAAAATCTTATGTTACTTGGTTTCAGTGTCGGATATATACGAATATGTTGGATTTTTTTTATTTTGATCGTATCTTCTTCGTAGCCGAACATGTTATAACAAGAATGTATATATGATTCTTAGGCTTACATCTCTAGTTCATGAGATTCTAAGATTCAAAAACAGTGAATTGGATTATCAAAAAGTGTGATTTCTTGATGTTTTTTATATTACGGTTCTTCCTTTTATTTTATTTTTCAGGATATGTACATCTGGACTTCCTAATGATGTTGACATTTACATTGGAGAAATGTCTTTCCATCTCCACAAGGTGTGTTACTTCATCTATATATGGTCTTGGAAATGGTTGTTTTTCGAGTTGAGTTGATTCGATTCGTTTTGAATATGGATTACAGTTTCCGTTGCTTTCGAGAAGTGGGATGCTAAGGAAGCTTATTGAAGAATGTTGTACAGGTGATGGAGCGAGTTTTAGTTTGAGGCTTGATGATTTACCAGGTGGAGCCAAAGCTTTTGAGCTTATATCAAAGTTTTGCTATGGCGTTAAAATCGAACTCACTGCACACAACATCGTTAGCGTTCGATGTGCAGCAGAGTACCTCGAGATGACTGATGATAACGGAGATGAGAATCTCGTTTTGCAAACGGAGTTTTTCCTCGAGGAAGTGCTTGGTACTTGGGCGGATTCGATTCGAGCTCTTGAAGCATGTGAAGAAGTTATGCCATATGCTGAAGAGCTTCACATTGTGTCAAGGTGCATCGATTCGTTGGCAATGAAGGCTTGTGAAGATCCGAGTATATACGGATGGCCTTTGGTGGGACGTGAGAGCAAGCAAAGTCCGGAAAATAATGGCTTATGGAACGGAATATCAACCCCAACCAAGACGAAAACTACGGGCGATAATTGGTGGTTCGAAGACGTAACGTTCCTTAGTCTACCGATATATAAAAGACTGATTTTAGCTATTGAATCAAGAGGCACGAGGCCTGAGAGCATTGCTGCATCAGTGGCACACTATGCTAGGAGGTATCTTCCCTTGGTGAATCGACAATCGAGCTTCGACGATGCGAATCAGGGGACAAATATTCCGAAACCTTCAGAAGCTGATCAAAGGGTTCTCCTGGAAGAGATTGTAGGATTAATGCCCAACAAGAAGGGAGTCACATCATCCAAGCTTCTCATTAGACTGCTTCGTACGGCTATGGTACTGCATGCAAGTCCTTCATGCCGAGAAAATTTGGAGAAGAGGGTCGGAGCACAGTTGGATCAAGCTTCACTTGTCGATTTGCTCATACCGAATATGAGTTATTCCGAGACTCTTTACGATGTAAACCGCGTTCAGAGAATTCTTGATCATTTCCTGTTAGTAGAGCAGGCTTCAGCTATAGCCACTCCGGATAACATAGTCGAGGAGGAGCAATTAATGAACAGATCCGATTCATTAGGGCCAATGACAATGGTGGCCCGTCTGGTAGACGGATTTTTAGCAGAAGTAGCGCAGGATGTTAATTTCAAGCTTCCCAAGTTCGAGGCACTTGCTGCTAGAATCCCAGATTATGCTAGACAACTTGATGATGGCCTCTATCATGCAATTGATATACACTTGAAGGTAGTGTTATCTCCCATGGCTGATTTCAATGTTGTTAATTCTTAAGGGTACGAGACCCTGATTAATCCGCAATTTGCAGGCACATCCATGGATTACAGATGGTGAACGAGAGCAACTATGTAGATTGATGAACTGTGAAAAGCTCTCAATCGAAGCCAGCACACATGCAGCTCAGAATGAGAGGCTACCACTTCGAGTAATCGTCCAAGTACTCTTCTTCGAACAATTACGACTACGAACATCGATTTCTGGATGGTTCTTTCTCTCTGATAATCTTGAAAACTCAGCGAAACCTAATGGAAACTTAGGAGTCGAGGGATATGAGTCTCATCCTACCATAGGCTCTGCAGAACATAATGCGACTGATGGCGAGGATGATGTGAAGCATCGTGTTTGTGAGCTCGAAAAGGATTGTTCGAGTATGAAAGAGGAGATCCAGAAGCTGGTGAAGGCCAAGAGAAGTTGGAAGAATTTCACTAGAAGGTTAGGATTTAATAAGTCACAATCTTGTTGTTCGAAAAGATCGAAGCCATCCGATCTTAGAGCCACCCCGTCATCGGTAAACAAACAACAAAACTGTGAAAATATTGAGGTGGTACCTGGAACTTTGAAGGTCATTTAATAGAAAAATACGTTTTATTTTCTGGCATTTGTATCATGATACCTTTTGATGTTATATAAATACAACTAAATCTCGATTCTTTTCAGAATTTTTCATTAGTGCTTATGAGTTTATTACTATTAGAATTAATTATTAGTATTTTATGAGTTGTATTACGATTACGATTAATTATTAGTATTTTATTAGTAACTCTAGAAAATTATTTTGTAGGAATTCTATCATATCTAGGACACTCAATTAAATTTTGTCGAAGAATCGGGTAAAGAAAAATGAAAGAACACAACAATTTTAACGAGGTTTAGCAATGTGTTTACGTCCTCGGTGTCTAGGCGGCGCTAGAAGTTTTATTCAACGTCTCATAGGTTTAGGTTATGTCTCTATTTATAATAAATAAACCCTGGTACATATTTACAAATATAACCATGTACCGTACCACGGGGGCGCGACCCCCACACCCCCAACCCACATAATCGTAACCCCCACTACGAGGCTTTCTTTGTAAGGACATTTGATATTCGCTTCGCTCACTCCGCTCCATCCCCTGTCCTCTTTATTGGTATATTTATGAGCTATACCTAACAAATCTCCACCTTGACGAATATCATGCCCCTTAGGAAACATTCAATGTGAGTTGGGTTATCTTACTTCTTTAACAACTTGAAACATTAAACAAGTTCAAGCAATGCTTGAACTTGTTTGTCGTAACTGGCTTGGTGAACATCAACGGTATTCTCATCAGTATGTACATTCCGAAACAAAATCTCTCCAGATGCAACCAACTCTCTCATCTTGTGAAACCATACATCAATATGCTTAGTTCTAGCACGATATACTTGATTCTTAGCCAAGTGAATAGTACTTTGATTGTCGCAAAGCAACTGAACTCCACCTTGCTGAACACTCAATTCCTTCACTAAACCAGTAAGCCATAAAGCTTCTTTTGCAGCTTCAGCCGCTACCATGTATTCAGCTTCAGTTGTAGATAGTGCCACAACAGATTGAACATTAGACTTCCAACAAATAGGCCCTCCACCAAGAGTAAAGACATACCCTGTTATAGATCTTCTATTATCCAAGTCACCTGCATAGTCTGAATCCACATATCCTACAACCAAAGGATTATCCCGCTGACTACCAAAAATAATTTCATGTCCCACAATACCCTTTAAGTACCGAAAGATCCACTTGACTGCTTCCCAATGTTGCTTACTAGGTTTAGACATGTACTTACAAACTTGACTAACATCATGAGCTATATCAGGACGAGTACATACCATTGTATACATCAAGCAACCAACAGCATTAGAATACATAACCTTTTTCATATCTTCAGGTTTCTTATCTGTCTTAGGGCATTGTTCTGATGAGAGCTTAAAGTGATTCGCCAATGGAGTGCTAACTGGTTTTGCGCTGCTCATCGTAAACCTTTTTAGCATTTTCTCAACATAACCCCGTTGAGATAGCCACGATTTCCTTGAGTCTCTGTCCCTGCAAATTTCCATTCCAAGAATTTTCTTTGCAGCACCTAAATCTTTCATATCAAATTCCTGACTCAATAAAGTTTTCAAACAAATAACATCATCCATGTTCTTCGCAGCAATTAACATATCATCAACATACAGTAACAGAAAAATAAAAGAACCATCATCAAGGCTCTTAATATAGAAATCAATCATACTCACATCACTTGTAGCCAATCTTGATCATATAGGAGTCAAACCGTTTGTACCATTATCTCGGAGACTGCTTCAACTCGTACAAAGATTTTTTTCAATCTGCAAACTAAATGCTCATTTCCAGGTTGAGTGAAACCTTTAGACTACCGCATGTAGATCTGCTCATTTAAATCACCATGTAAAAAAGTAGTTTTCACATCCATCTGCTCTAAATGCAAATCCTAACTAGCCACCAATGCAAGTACTGCTCGGATTGAAGTGTGCCTGACCACAGGAGAAAAAATTTCATCATAATCAACTCCTTTCTGCTGTGAAAAACCCTTTTATACCAAACGAGTCTTGAAATTCTCCCATCTTTTTCTGTTACTGCTGGTTTCTTCTTATACACCCATTTGCAACCAATCGGCTTCTTACCCTCAGGAAGGTGAACTAACTCCCATGTACGATTGTGATTCAAAGACTACATCTCCTCAACCATGGCAACCATCCACTTGTTGTTTTCATGACTAGTAACTGCATCATGAAAAGTAACTGGATCATCACTGCTAACAGTAAGTGCAAAAGAGACCAAGTATTCAAAACCCAATCTGTTCGGAGGCTTTATATTCGTCTGTCTCAACCTGTTTCTAGCGAGACTATAATCCTGCAAATAATCCGTGGCGGAACCACCAGAAGTCGGTTGAGAAGTTTCTGTTTTCTCAACTAGAAACTGCTCGAAATTCACCACTGGCGTGTCTTTTTTCTGCTACAACATGGGATGTTCATAAAAAACTTCTCTACTGATCACAATTTTCTTTGCAATTGGACCCCAGAACTTGAATCCTTTGACACCTTTCTTGTAACCTAGAAAAATGCACTCATTCTATTTTGCATCAAGTTTGGATCTCTTATCAACAGGTACATGTACATAACCAGGACAACCAAAAATTCGTAAGTGATCAAAAGTAACATCATAACCAGTCCATACCTCTTTTGCAACTTTCCCAGACAATGATGCCCTTGGCGATCTATTGATAAGATAACACACCATGTTAACAGCCTCAGCTCAAAAGTGTTTGGGAAGTCCCGCATTCAACCACAAACATCTGGCTCTTTCATTCAACGACATGTTCATCCGTTATGCAACACCATTCTGTTGTGGTGTCTTGCGCACTGTAAAATGTCTCTTAATACCATGCTCCTTACAGAAGTGTAGAAACTGTGAATTTGTGTACTCTGTACCATTTTCAGACCACAAACACTTGATTTTCTTTCTTGTTTGGTTTTCTACCTCAACTTTCCACAGCTTGAACTTCTCAAAAACGTCATACTTATGTTTCAAAAAATACACCCAAAATTTCCGTGAAAAATCATCAATAAAAGTAACATAATACCTAGATCCACCCAAAGTCGATGTTGTAGAAGGCCCCCATACATCAGAATGCACATAATCAAGATTCTCTTCAGTTGTGTGCTTCACAGTCTTGAAACGAACTTTAGTCTATTTACCAAGAACACAATACTTGCAAAAATCGAGCTTACAACTTTTAACACCATGCAACAAATTTATTTTGTGTAATTCAGCCATACCACATTCACAAAGATGAGCAAGACGCATATGCCACAGTTTGGTAGTATAATCACATGACTCAACCGAATGAACTCCACCTATAACGGTACTCCCTAAAAATCTATAAATATTCCCTGCAATCATCTTTCCTTTCATTACAGTCAAAGCTCTTTTAACAATCCGAATGGTTTCCCTATCCTCATCAGCCTTAGGGATAAAACCATTCTTGTGCAAAGTGCCCAAAGAAATCAAATTCTTCTTCAAATCTGGATATGTCAAACACCACTCAACGTCCGAATAGAGTCATCATACATATTAATTCTGACCTCACCAATACCAGCAATATTGCAACATCGATCATCACCCAAATAAACAGAACCAGAATTAATCGACCTGTGTGTCGAAAACAATTCCCTATTTGGCGTGATGTGATAAGAACATTCAGAATCAAGAATCCAAACATCCGTCAATTGAGTCGTTGAAATAAAGAGCATATCACCCTCATTGCAATCAGAATTGTCATCATCGACCACATTCACAGACTTGGATGAGTCATCACGCTTCTCATCAGTATGTTTTTTCAACTTCGGGCAGTCTCGCTTCATATGTCCCGTCTCCTTGCACTTATAACAATGAATTGTCTTCTTATCCCCATATTTGAATCTGAAATTTTGCTTCCCAGACCCTGTCTTCTCTGGCTTCCGTCCACGGTCTCGATTACCCTTGACATATAAGCTATCAACTTGAGAGCTTTCCCATCCATTCTGCTTCTGCTGGTTGTGAGCCAACAAGGCTACAGTAATCTCCTCAACTTTGATAGTCTATTTCCCATATGTAAGAGTAGTCACCATGTGTTTGTAAGAGGGAGGCAACGAACACAACAAAATCATCTCTTTGTCTTCATCATTAATTTTCACATCAAGTCGAGCCAAATCAGAAACGATTTGATTGAAGACATTCACGTGTTGTACCAAATCATGATCGTCATGCATCTTCAGCCCATACAGCTGATGCTTTAGATACAGTTTAGTCGTTAAGGATTTGGACATAAACTGACTTTCCAACTTCCTCCAAATTTCATCTGGAGACGACAGATACATGACGTGATACATGACCTCGTCCGCCAAGCATAATCGTATGGTTCCTGCCGCTCGCTGCTGTAATTCTTCCCAATCTTCCTCCTCTATCGACGCCGGATTTGTAGGTCGCAAAGCCTTCAGGATCCCTTATTGCGCCAACAGATCATTCACCCTTGCTTGCCATAATCCTAAGTTACCATGACCATCAAATTTCACAACTTCGAATTTTGCTCCTGACATCTGATACCAATTGTCGAAGAATCGGGTAAACAAAAATGAAAGAACACAAGAATTTTAATGAGGTTCAGCAATGTGCTTACGTCCTCGGTGCCTAGGCGGTGTTAGAAGTTTTATTCAATGTCTCATAGGTTTAGGTTACATCTCTATTTATAATAAATAAACTCTGGTACATATTTACAAATCGTAACCCCCACTACGAGACTTTCTTTATAAGGACATTTGATGTTTGCTTCGCTCACTCCGCTCCATCCATGTCTTCTTTACCAGTATATTTATGAGTCATACCTAACAAATTTGTATATTACGCTAAGAAATAAAGAAAACATATTTTTAATGAATCCTATTTCTACATGGTATCAGTTGCCAGTGGTCTTGATCTTCTGATTATTTCTGTCACCGTTTTTCTCATCGTTTTTCTCTGTTGATATCGCTATTGTTCCGATCAACAAACCATTG